TAAATTTTCCCTAAGGAATCTTCCAAAGAAGCTTCTGCTTGTAAGTAATATTCCTGGATTACACACAACTCAAGGCCTTTCTCAGATATTTGGAGAAAGGACATAGCTAGAAAGAAGCAACTTTTCAGAAAAATGAGAGGCAGACAGGGGCCTGAAATAGGCAAGCATGACATTAATTTCATACTATTTCCTGAACCTTTTCTGTGTATTCAAGGTTCATAGTAGCACTACAAAACATTAAACACAAAAATGCAAATCATTTCCTGAACTTTGTGTTTTTGTTTTTGTTTGGATGGTTTTGAGATCTGAACAAAGAGCCTAGTGTTTGATAGGCAGGTGCTCTATCAAACTGGGAACCATACTCCCAGCCCTTTTGAACTTTAATTTTTTGATATAGAACAAAGGAAGGTAGCTCCTTGTTGGTAATCATAGCCCAGTCTTACATTGCTTTTTTCTAAGTCTATCTGAGTCATGATTCATGCTGATGTCTAGGGTTTTTCATGACTTGTCTACAAGGATTACACTGACCTGCTTACAAATTGTAATTTTGTAGTTTTACCCTTGGTTTTCTGGCATTTGCATCATAAGAGCTTCAGAGATAAGATTTCATCATGTTCAATTCAAAATTTTGTTGTTGTTGTTGGTTGTGGGGCTTGAACCCTGGGCTTGGGCACTGTCCCTGTGATCTTCAGCTCAAGGCAAGTGCTCTACCGCTTGAGCCACAGCACCACTTCTGGTTTTCTAGCGGTTTATTGGAGATAAGGGTCTCATGGACTTTCCTACCTGGGCTGGATTTGAACTGCGATCCTCAGACCTCAGCCTCCTGAGTAGCTAGGATTACAGACGCGAGCCTCTGGCGCTTGGCTTCAATTCAAAAATTTTAAGAAAAAAATTTAACAAATCAGCCAAGGGTAAGAGCCTCTGAAATATTTAGTAACTTTAATGTAGGTAATAATGTGCCAAAAAGGAAGTATTTGTCAAACAGAAATATAAACAAATAGATAACATTTTAATTAATTTTGAGCCTTGAACACTTGTTAGCCTAAATATATTTTTATTCCATAATAGCTGCTAATTTATATTTATATAAGTATATAGCCAAACAATGAACAGAAAATATGTATGGCCCAGGTAGAACATGTTTTTCAATAGGAATTTAAAATTAAGAGTTTCAACTCAAATTCCACAAAGTATGACATTTTACTCTCTCATGAAGAAAATAGTTCGCAGCCCTAGATTTTGACCCAAATGTGGTCATCTGCTTTAAGAATATTCAACAGTGGAGAAGATTCTAGATAGAGGAGTTCTTTTAGGTGGAAGAACTGCTTCAGCCCATGCCAAGGCCCTTCTCTTGGCTTCCACAACATGCTGTGGAGAGCTTCCTGCAGTGGGGCCATTCTGTGGACTGGGATCTGACTCCCCATCAGGCAGTGGGGAAATAAGCTGCTCAGATACTTCCGTGAAGTAGTGACAAAAGAGGGAGAGAATGGCTTGTGGGACAAAAGGTTGTTTTCATGTTTCCTGTGGCCTAGATCAAGTTTCAGGGAGAAGAGAGAACTGGCCTGGAGCCATCTTGAATCTTGTGTAAGAGCCTGTGGCAGGGGGGTGAGAGGGCTGCCATTAGTTAAGGAAACTGAAGCTGAGGCCATCAGGAGTATCCAGCCAGAAGAAGCATAGCACCCATGTCATGAAGATTGCAAGGAGAGGAGGCAGGAGCAACATTTTAAAGAAACCCTTAGACAGCCTTAAGCACATGCCAGCCACGTTGTGCACGTGCAAGGTACTTAGCTTGGTATATGGTTAACACTATCTTGAATTTTTTTTTTTTTTTTTTTTTTTGTCGGTCGTGGGGCTTGAACTCTGGGCCTGGGCGCTGTCCCTCAGCTCTTCAGCTCAAGGCGAGCGCTCTACCACTTGAGCTACAGCGCCACTTCCGGTTTTCTGGTGGTTTATTGGAGATAGGAGTCTCACGGTCTCTCCTGCCCAGGCTGGCTTTGAACCGCAATCCTCAGATCTCAGCCTCCTGAGTAGCTAGGATTACAGGCATGAGCCACCAGCACCCGGCTTATCTTGAATTTTTTTAATTCTTAAATTCTTATTGTGAAGGTGATATACCTCAGAGGGGTTACAGTTACTTAATTCAGGTAATGAGTACATTTCCTTTTGAACAGCATCACCCCCCACCCATTCTCTCCCAGTTTTCCCCTCCCAACTTCCCTGCCCCCAAAGTTGTATAGTTCATTTCCAATACAGTGTCTAGTGTGTATCACTGCTGAATTGGTTCAACCTTTGTTCCATCATTTCTGTGCTTCCCCTTCCTCTTCCCAAATTAGATAAACTTATATAAAAGACAAAGGGTACAAAAATAAAAAACAGTGACAAGAGGGAATTAGCAAGAGGAAGGAAAAGAAAAAAAGAAAGAAAGAAAGAAAGAAGCACAAACAGTGTAGTTAAAAAAAACACATTCTGTTTCCATTTCTTGGAGTTCATTTTGATAAGCATGATTTTATAAATCATAGTTATGTAGCTACTGAGCCCTTGTGATCCTCTCCTAAGAATATCCTTCTTTGATCTCACTGTGTGAATGTTTAGAGTGCTGTTTAATCCATCATGCACAAGTGTAATTATTTGTTTTTTTTATTATCTATTGAGTTTACTTGTAGATTTATAGACACATTCTAATTATTACAAATGAGGGAAACTATGAAGCCTGTATTTCTTTAGGTCTTGCTTGCTTTGCTTAGTATACTTTTTTCCTAGTCTTGACTCTCCTTTATGAATGGGGCAATGCTAGTCTTTCTGATGGGAGCATAGAATTTCATTGTGTATATACCACATTTTCTTAATCCATTCATCCACTGAAGGGCATTTGGGTTGCTTCCATATCTTAGCTATGGTTAAATAATGCTGCAATGAACATGGTTGTGCTGGTGGCTTTAGTGTGGCATGGTTTGTTGTTATTTGGATAAATGCACAGGAGTGGGATTGCTGGCTCATAGGGAAGCTCTATGTTTAGACTTTTGGGGGACTTCCTTGCTGCTTTCCAGAGTGCTTGAACAAATACTCAAACTGGACCAGGAAGATTTAAACCAACTAAATAGACCCATAGCAAGTACTGAAATAGAAATGTTAATAAAAGACAGCTGAATTCTATAAGGCCTTCAAAGGAGAACTCACTCCAGTACTCTTCAATGAGATTGAAAGGGAAAGATCATTACCAAACTCATTCCATGAAGCCACCATAACATTCATCCCCAAACCAGATAGGGACTCAGAGAAAGAAGTATAGACCTATCTCTTTGGTGAACATTGATGCAAAACTTCTCAATAAAATCTGACCAACCAAAGTCAACAACTAGCCAAAAAAGTCATACACTATAATCAAACAGGATTTATTCCAGGGACAGAAAGCTGGTTCAATGTATGCGAGTCAATTAATGTAATTCCACACATCAACAGGTGCAAGAACAAGGACCACATGATCATCTCCATAGATGCAGAAAAAGCATTTGACAAGATCCAACACCTCTTTATGATGAAAGCTCTGGAGAAGCTAGGAATCAATGGAACATTCCTCAATATAATAAAGAGTGTATATGACAAGCCTACACCCAGCATTTATACTTAATGGTGAAAAGTTAAAACCATTTCCTCTAAAATCAGGAATGAGACAAGGATGTCTGTTCCCTCCACTCATCTTGAAATTACTTAACTCCTGTCCAGCAAAGCACCTAGCATTTTCATTTTACTCTAGGCTCTAAAAATTGTGTAACTGTGCATGCCAGGCTAAGAGTGCAAAGCTGGCTGATAATGGTCAGAATGGGTAAGAATGTAATAATGGTACCAGCTGGGTAAGAACTTTTTGTCTTTCATAAAGAGACTGCTTTTGCTATCGAAGAGGAACTCAAAATGGGGAAATGGAAATGCTGAAGCCACATACCTTCCTTTTTAATGCTTTTAGCCTAAAGAAAACTCAAATTCTAAGTCATATTCAGAAGTGTGAATAAAATCTCATTGCCCAATTGAGATTGTGTTTACATCCTAAAGTCGTGGTTGTTCTGTCTTAGTAACTAAAGGTTAATAGAAAAATTGAGACTAGATTTTCTCTCATCGTGAGCAAGCTATGCCAGAACCATGGACCAACACATTTGTATCTTTCCACAAATTCAGAATTTACTGAATATGAATAAACTCTCAAGCTATGGCAGCTTCATTGGCTTTTACTTGGCTGAGTATTATTGCTTTTGCTTGATAACTGTGACCAGGGCTATTCCAAGTTCTTTATTCCATTCTAATCATGACAACTAATATCTGTCACATGAAGAACATACATGTAATATAGATAATAGAAAGGTTGAGAAAAGGTTGAAAGTGAGTGACCACAGGATTTAAAGTGATATAAAGAGCTGATACACAGGCAGTCATTTCAGATGGTCAGATAAGGGCTGAAGAACTGGTAGAATGGGGCTGGGAAGGTGGCTCAGTGGTAGAGCGCTTGCTTTGCATGCATGAGGCCCTGGGTTCGATTCCTCAGCACCACATAAGCAAAAAGAAAAAAGCTGGAAGTGGCGCTGTGGCTCAAGTGGTAGAGTGCTAGCCTTGAGCTGAAGAGCTGAGGGACAGTGCCCAGGCCCAGAGTTCAGGCCCCATGACTGGACCCCCTCCCCCTCAAAAAAGGACTGGTAGCATAGTCAGCAAGTCACAGAGCTATCTAGGCAGGAGGATCAGGATGGTTTGCAGTTTTTAAGTGGATGTTGCCAAGAAGGAGGCAGAGCTTAGTTGACTGGTAATCTGGTGATGCATATTCAGGGTGGTTTGCTAAGAGGATGATAAGTATGGAGGTATGGGCTCCTTTGTATAGTCTTAGCTGCCTCTGCTATTATGTTTTGGTGAAGGGTTTGCACAATTTTGAAAATAAATTGATTATCTTTTAGGTACTTGTACAAAGATGGTGCTATTTAACAAAGCAGTGAATGACTGCAATGCATCTTGATCAGTGTGAAAATATAGACTGCTTCACGAAGTTGTGTGTCATCTTTGTGCAGGGGCCAGACTAATCTTCTCTGTATCATTCCAAGTTGCACGTATGTGCTGCCCAAGCGAGCGTGGGTTTGCATTCTGTGTGGTTCAGTGTGTTTTAAAATCTATATGTCTAGTATTTCTGATATGCTGTATCCATGCATGCAGATCCCTATCACTTAATTTGGTTATTCACAAGTGGTATTTTTTTTTTTTTTGTCGGTTGTGGGGCTTGAACTCTGGGCTTGGGCACTGTCCCTGTGCTGTTCAGCTCAAGGAGAGTAATCTACTGCTTGAGCCACAGCACCACTTCCGGTTTACTAGTGGTTTATTGGAGATGAGAGTCTCACGGACTTTCCTGCCTGGCGTGGCTTTGAACTGCGATCCTCCTGTGTAGCTAGGATTACAGGCGTGAGCCACCAGCACTCGGCTACAAGTGGTAATTTTTTTATGAATAACTTTTCGGTTTATACCACAGGATGGTGCCATGTAACCCAATTTACTTTTTTTTTTCTTTTAGTAAGTCCTGTGTGTCCAACGTCTTCTGATACTTCACTTGCCCAAATGAGTTACCAACTCATCCTGCCTTAGAACTGGCACTCAAAATACAGTTCTTGGGAAGCTGCTGCTTTATGAGGCAGGATCACTCAGAGATTAGAGGCAGGGCTCACATGGTAGAGCGATTGCTAGGTAACAGCAATACCCTGGGCACTGCCAACCCTATCAAACCCTAATACTGCCTGATGAAGATGAAGAAGATGATAATGACCAGGATGATGATAGGATGACGTAGTAATTCAGGACTAGGCCAATGTGAAAGCTTCTGTTCACTGCAACATAGAGCAACTGAGAGAAGGACACATCCTGCTCTTCACACCTTGTACTAAAAAAGCCAACCATATCATTTAATGCAAAGCACATAACCAGCAATTGGATGACCTTATAATAGATAAGTAAAAAGAGTAAAAAAAAAGTCAGATGTAGATTTGAGACTTTCTAACTTCATATCATACATTTTCTTTCCATTCACTTTTTATTAGCAAAACTTCGTGTTTTTAAATGGGTAGAAGAACTTTCTAGAATAGGACGTTATTTACCTTAGATAACTGAAGAAAGACAAGGTGATTACCCAAGTAGAGGGTAGAAATTTAGTGTTATTTTTACTGTAAGTTGTGTTGAAAAGTTCAATCCCCACAGAGCAGACTTTGAAACAACTAGAAATGCACACCAACTTAGAAAGATAAAATTATATAGTAAAAAGAAGCTCTGGGATCAAAATATGTATGCATTAGTTTTATTGCATACCATGATTCTACTGCACATCCAGGAATAATAATAATTATGTATGCTTGCTGCTTTGGAATTGGAACATGATTTCTACTTGGAAGCTTCACAAGCAGTTATTTAATTATGGTCAGTAATTCTCTGTGACCCAAGTGTCATGAAATATAAAATGTATTGCTTAGGGATTGCTTAATCTGCTAACAGATTTAGCTCAGGGTGGGGAGAAGGATGAAATGAATGAAAAATCTCATTCATAGTCTAGTAATAATATAGCACAACAAAAGAATCTGACAATCGAGAGGGGTTTTCACAGAGTGTAGGCATCTCAGTTTCACATATCAGCAGATCAGTAAACATATCTGGTCCTCAGGATTGCTCAGATGTTCCCACACAGGTATTTGACCTGTGCTTTAAGAAAGAAATCTGTAAAGAAGAGAAAAAGACAACTGTCACTAGTAATTATTGCAATAGACTTCTATTGTGTCTTAGTTGGTGTTCCTCTAACAAAAGCCTCTCAGACTGGGTGACTTAACCAATAGAAATTTGTTTCTCACAGTACTGGAGACTGGAAAGAACAAGATCAAGTCCCTGGATCACCCAGTGTCTGCTGAGGGCTGGCTTCTTCATTGGCAAATAGCAGTCTTCTTATCATCCATCATCTCTCATGGGAGAGAAAGAGAAAGGCTGCAAGCTCCTATGGCGTCCGTCCTTATAAGAGCACTAATCCTAGTCATTGGGTCCCACCCGCATGACCTTGTGGCCTCCCAAAGCTCCATTTCCTGTCACTGTAGGATTAGTATGAATGTTGGGGAGACAAAATCCGTGTGTGTGTGTGTGTTCCAGTCCTAGGGCTTGGACTCAGCATCTAGGTGCTGTCTGAGCTTTCTTGATGCAGCTAGTACTCTACCACTTATGCCAGAGCTCCATTTCCAGTCTTTTCTGGTAGTTAATTGGAGGTAAGAGTCTCACACACTTTCCTACCTGGGCTGGCATTGAACCAGTCCTCAGTTCTCAGCCTCCTGAGTAGCTAGGATTATAGGTGTGAGCTATTGGCACCCAGCTTATGGCATTTTACTTGTACCTCTACCTAAGTTATGCTTTTGGAAATTTCTTTTAGTCACCCAGGATAGTCACTAATTACAGCTGTAGATTTAAGATAGTTATTTCAGAGATTGACTAGTGATTCAATCATTTTCTTCTTCTCCCTGAGCCCAGACTCCACTTTGTGGCTTGTCTTGATGGCTTGGGAGATTTCTTACCTTTGGGAGGAGTACTGGGGTCTGAACTCAAGACCTTGTGCTCACACTTGGCTTTGTCACTCAAGGTTGGCTCTACCACTTGAGTCACATCACCACTTCCTTTATTGTTGCTGGTTAATTGGAGATAAGAGTCTCTTAGACTTTTCTGTCCAATCTGGCTTCCAACCATGATCCTCAGATCTCTGCTTCCTGAGTAGTTAGGATTACAGGTGTGAACCACCAGTGCTTGGCTCTTTGAGCCTTCCTCCACATTTTCCCCTTGAGGTTGTGGTTTTGTGTTAAGACATGTTAGAGCGCTAATAGGAAGTTGGACCCATCAATAAATTCTCTGTGGAAACTTATCTGTTATTCAGGACTTCACAAGAATGAGAAATGCACTTCCTTGTTCTGTGGTGATGCAGATTTTTGTTTGTTACCATGCCTATTATGACATAAATATGAATATGTTAACATTTACAGTAAAGAATTTTTGGCTTGTTAGCTGCTTAGTCTGTTTTGGGTACTAGTATTTCATAAAATTCAATTCACATAAATTGTTCAAGCAGTTGTAATTGCAATCTTTCAAATAAGGAAATTAAGACTTGGATAAATTAACTTGACTGAGATGACACATAGTGTGAACTCAAATTTTTGAGTCTCCAAAGCATTTATGTTCTTTCCAACAAACCATATTATATTTGAAATGAAAATTACTATGCAGATTGCACATAGTGCATAGATTTGTTTGTCCTCTTATTTGTTCATCAATTTCTTTCTTTTTTTTGTCGGTTGTGGGGCTTGAACTCTGGGCCTGGGCACTGTCCCTCAGCTCTTCAGCTCAAGGCTAGTGCTCTACCACTTGAGCCACAGAGCCACTTCTGGTTTTCTGGTGGTTTATTGGAGATAAAAGTCTCACAGATGCCGGGGGCTGGGTTTGACCCATGATCAAATCTCAGCCTCCTGAGTAGCTAAGATTACAGGCGTGAGCCACAGGTGCACAGCCATTCATCAATTTTTAAAATGCTTACTCTGTGTTTTTGTTTTTTTTTTTTTTTTTGTGCCACACTCTCCTTGGACAAGATTTCCTGACAATTAAGTCAGGAGAAGCATTTTATTTATTTGTACCCGATGCTCTGAATGTTTATGGTGCCCCCAGGTTTATGTGTTGAAATGCACATCTCAAAGGTGATACAGCTGGAGCTCTTATATATGGGATTAGGCCATTATAAAGAGGTCAGTGCCTGGGAATGTAACTCAGGGAAAGAGCACTTGTTTAGCTAGTGATCCTGGGTTCATTCCCCAGAATTAGGCAACAGCAACAAACCCTCCAAAACCTACTGCAGTGGTGTATACTTATAATACCAGCTGGGTTACTAAGTGAGACTGTGACAAAACAAGCAATGCCCAAAAAGGGTCACTCCTTGAGGAGACGGAAAGACAACACTATTTATGTCTCAGGAATGTAGGCCTTCATCATACACCAAATGTGTCAGTGATTAGATCTCATTGATAATTCATAACACCACAACTCTTAGTGTTAAATATTTAAGAGATTGACACTTGTTTGGGCACTAGTTGTCACAAGTCATTTTCTTAAAAATAAAAAAGGTGGGCTGAGGTATTATGGAATAAAATTCTTATCCATTATTTTGTGTTTTACAGCAAGAAACCTGCAACCCAACTATTTTGCCAACAGCTATAGCTAGAGGTCTGATAATCATGGGAATAAATTGTGTGTATTTCAAATGCAAACTGAACAGAATTAGGACTTAGTATATGTTTATTAGTCAGCACTTGGCCCTTGTGAAATATGTGGAAAAGGACAGGCAGTAATGGAGGACTGAAGATATGCTCACAGAGGAATTGTTGCTTATTATTTTTGTGAAGTTGACAATTGGCCTTGTACAAACACACACACACACACACAAGTGCTCTGTCATTGAGGGGTGTTTCTTAAAATGGTGAATTTTGTTCTAGAATAGAGAGGCAAAACAAGTTTGACTTGTAAATGGCAAAACCTAATTTTTAGAGGAGAAACCCTTTTCTTTCTTACTAGGTTTTCTACTCTTGCCTAGAGTCCCAGTAGAGTCCTAGTAGGGATATGCTGAGACTGGTTATGGGGTTCAGACCTCCTAGGATCAGGAGTTAAGCACTCTTAAACAGTGTAGGGATGTTACTGCAGAGCTTTCTTTTAGTAAGCATGCTTTAATGTTTACTTTCCCTCCAAGTGACCTAAGGTGGGGAGGCCATTTGATTGACAGCTGCCAAACTTCCCTTGTGCCCACGGCCTTGGACTTGGAGCTGTTCATCCAGCAGCCCTGGGCACCAGTGGGACTGTCCTTATGGCAGCATGGCTGCTTTGACACCTCACAGAGGGCAGATGCCCTCCAGATGCCCAGGACACTGCAGCTGAAGCCCCAGGCGCCTGCTTCGGGAGGCCATGCCCCAGCCACCCTGGCCTCCTAGACAACTGAACGCCGGCCTTGGAGGGTAACACTGAAAGCTAAGACAAGCCAAGTAAACTACTTTGCAGCGCTGGGGACTGAACACAGGGCCTTTGAAGCAGTGTCCTGCTGATCCGCATCCCCCATGTGTTTCTTCTTCTTCCAGGTGTCCCAGGCTGCCTCTGGGTGGCTGGGGATGCAGGTCAGCGCCGCACGCGCCCTCTGCTTGGGGGGAAATGCCCATGTCTCCACAGCTTTTCTCGCTCAAGATGGCTGGGGGAGACCCTCCTGAAGAAGTCGGCAAGGACTCGGGATTAGCCCCGACAGCCGTCCACGATTGGTGGATTTGGAAGCTGTGTTGTGATAGGTGCAAATACAACCCTTCATTTGCATCCACAGCAATAGGCCATTTATGAGGCAACAGGCAGGCGTTCTCCTTGGCCGCCACACTGGGTCGGTCGAGGGCTCCTCAGGTGACCTTCGCCATGGTGCGGTGGGCCGCCCACAGCCGAGGCAGTGCGGGCTCTGGAAGCCGCAGAGATGAGATGGCCCGGGGGGGAGGGGCTGTCCGGGAAGGCCGAAGGTGAGGGCCGCAGGAAGGGCCCTGGGGACCCGGCAGCCCTGGTACTAGCCGAGGCGGAGCCCACGCGCGCAGGCCGCGGGCACGCAGAGCCTCGGGCCCAGCGCCTAGGCTGGCCAAGCCGGCCTGTGGTGGGAGGCTGGAGCCTCACTGTCAGCCCAGCCCGTGAGCCCTGGCTTGGCACCCAGGGGAAGGTCGAGGGCTGCCAGCGCCGGAGGCACAACTCTTCACCTAGTGGTGATCGCCATTCAAGTAGGGAAAAGGCGGCCAGGTAGAGCCCTGGCCGTGCAGCCGCGGCTCCCTCCACGCGGACTCGCTGGGAGGAGCGGCGGGAAGGGAAGGTCCTCCGCGGGGGAAGCCGGTGTGCAGACACGCGCGTCCAGGGCAGGAGCGAGACGCGTGCCCGGGGAGATGGGGCGGGGCCGGGCCACGTGGCGGGCCCGCGCGGGGAGCGACGAGACCCGGTCTGCGGATGGCCTCGATGGCTTCCCAGGGGAGGCCTGGTGGCACGCGGCCATGTTCCGAGCCGCGTCCCCGCTGCTCAGGCTCCCGGCGCCAGGAGCCTCAAAAGACGCGGCGCGGCGCTGCCTGCAACGCCCGCAGCACGGCTGACCCGGGCCCCGCGGCGCCGGCTCTGCGGTGCGAGGCGCGGGGCCCGGGGTGCGGCGCGAGGCCGGCCCCGCCCGCCGGGGCTCTCAGGTGTGGGGCGCGCGCGCGGGGGCGCGCGCGGGGGCTGCGGCCTCGGGGTTCGCCGCGGGCCACGCGGCGCGGGGAAAGCCCGGGACTTCCCGCCCGGAGCCGTTCTCGCGAGAGCAGAGGGGGCGCGGAGGGCCCGGGGGCGCGGGGAAGCCTGCGGTCGAGGGCCCGGCCGGGCCGGCCGGGGACGCGGGGAAGCCGCTCCCACCGGGCGTCGAGCGCCCGCCCTGACGTCAGGAGTTTTCCTCAAAGTCAACAACAAGCCCCGCGGCGGCGGCGGCGGCGGGAACGCTCAGCGGCCCGGGAGGAGGGCGGAGGGGGCGGCGGCGGCGGCGGAGCCCCTCAGGCGCGGCGCGGGGCGGCGGCCGGCGGGGGAGGCCGCGGACCCCCGCCCCGCCCGGCCCGGCCCGGCCCCCGCCGGAGCGCGGTGGTCGGGGGATGAACTGAATGTGTGGCCGGCATCCGATTCCCACGTAGTCTCCGCCCCCTCCTCCCCGCGCCGCCGCCCGCCTCCCGCCGCCGCCGCCCGCTCCAGCGCCGCCGCCGCCGCCCGCCCGGCTCCCTCCCTCCTCCCGGCAGCCCTGCGCCTCCCTCCCGCCGGCCGCTCCGGGCTCCAGGGGCCGAGGCTCTGCGGGGTGGGGGGAGGACAGAGGGGAGAGGAGGGAGGGGGACCCCCGAGTCGCCCCCTCCTCCCCCCGCCCCCCGGCTCCATCCTCCGCCACCGCGCGAGCAGCTGCGGGGCCGCCGCCGCCGCCTTTGCAGGTAACCGCCCCCGCCCGCCCGCCCGCCCGCCCGCCGCGCCCCGGCTCCGGCCCGGCCCCGTTCCCCCGGCCCGGGCGCCGGCGGGGTGCGGCGGGGGGCCTCGGGCTGTCACCGCGCCGGGGCGGGGGCCGGCGGGGATGGGGGCGGGGGCCCGGGGGCGCCCGGCGCGGGCGACACCGACACCCACACCCCTCGCCTTCCGAGAGGCCGGGGCGGGGGCCGCGCCGGGCCTAGCGGTGCGGAGCGTCTGGGCGGCCGGGCCGGCGCCTCCGGTACCCGCGCGGCCCGCGCCGCTCCCCGCCCCGCCCCGCCCGGCGGGCCGCGCGGTGGGGAGGGGGCGCCCGCCGGGCCGGGCCGGGTTACGTAACGCGGCGCCGGGGCCGCTGTCGGGGTGGGGGCGGGGGCTGCGGCGCCCGGCGCGGGGCCGCCTGCGCGCGGCGGGGCGAAGGCGCGGATGCTCGGGGCGGACCCCGGGGTCTCGGTCCCCCCGCACCGCGCCCCGCCGCCGCCGGCGCGCGACGAGGTTGGGCGCTGCAGGCTGGGGTGCGCGGGACCCCCGGTGGGCGACGCGCCCGTCTGCGGTGCTCCGGATAGCGGGGCTCGAGCCGCCGGGAGCGGTGAGCTAAGAATAGAACCGTGCGGAAGATGCTGGGCTCGGCGGATCCGCCGCTGCCGGCGCGGCGTAAACAAACCCGCTCCTTCCCGGCCCTCCTCCGCCCCTCCCCCTCCCCCCACCCGCGCCGAGGTCCGCACGGCCGCGGGGCGGGGGCCGCCGGGCCCGCGTGCCGGCCGGCTGGCGGGGCGCTCACAGCCCCGACGCCCCTCCCGGCGGGAGGGTCGCCTCGGTGCGGGGGCCCTGGGCGCCGGCGGGTGCGGTTCCTCTCGTGGAAGCGGAGGACCGCCTCCCCCGCCGGCCGCAGGCTCCATCCCGCGGCGCGGCCGGGAAGCAGCCCCGGTGCCCTCGTGCGAGGGTCGGGGCGAGAGCCGGGGGCCGCCGCCGATCAAAGCCCCCGACTCGAATTCCCGCCCCGGGAGCGGCCAGCTCCTACGAACACGTCCCGCGGTGGTCTTCCGAGGGTCGGGCGGGTGACTGGGAGCCGCCCCTCCTTGGGCGGTCACTCGCCGCCGGGCCGCGCGGGGAGGGCTGCGCGGGTGCGGAGGCCCGGGTCACTCCGTCCCCTGCAGCTGTCAGTGCCGGGACCTTCGGCAGACACCGTGCCTTGTGTTAGGCTTTCTGTTCACCTAGGGGAGAAAATCGGAGCAGCCAACTCGGGGGAGAGTTTAGGAAATAAAAAGATGGTTTAGGACTCGAACATCAGTGCTCAGCACTTGAGCCTCGTTGAGGTTGCTCTCCTGGGAAGGAGAGTTGGGTGATTTAGAATCACTGCAAATCCAAGTAAGAAAAGTCTGGTGGTGACACTTCCTTTAGGACAGTAAGTTCAGTCCTGCACAAAGTAGGGATCCAGGAAGTGTCCGGGTACAACTTAGAATCATTGTCGATGTTGTTCAACTAGTGATCTTCAATTGGAAGAGAATTCACTCACATGAGTCACATGAAACACTTGGTGAAATATTTGTAAATGAATCGATATTCCAGGAGATGGTTGTCTAAGACAACTTTATTAAGCACCTATTTTTTTTAGATTCCCAGTTTCTTAGAGTATCTGATTAAATGGACACTATATAAGACACATGTGTGTACGTGTATTATACATAAATACGTGTATGTAGCAACGTGAATTTTTTTCCACTTTTTGATCCTGTTAAGATGCTTGCTGTTTGTTAATGAGGTTAACCTCATCTTTGGTTTTAGCTTCTACTCTTAAAGTGAAGAACATATATGAATGAAACAGTTTTGGGACTTTCTAGATGAATATAGGATTTTAGTTTTCAATTATATGTTTGCATTTTGCACTTACAGTATGCTTTCCAACAGTATTTTAAAGTAATTTTGCAAAAAAGTTGATGCAATAATTATTTGTGTTCATTCTGCCCCCTTCACTTTGTTTTTTAAAAAATAGTGCTTAGTGAATTGTTTTGCAACTTTAGTCTTAGTTTAATCTTGACAATGAATATTTGCCTTAAGTTGTGATCGTCAGAGCACTTTCTGCTTTCAACTCGTTTATGTAATTTTATTTTTGGTCTTTTTGAGACAAGGTTTCTATGTAGCCCAGGCTGCCCTCAAACTTGGAATCCTTCACCTTCAGCCTCCAAAGTGCTGGGGTGACAAGTGTGTGCCACTATGCTAGTCTTGTTTACGTAACTGTATAACTAAACTATATTCTTTAAAGTTTATTGAGCAAATATTAACATGAGTAGTGATGCTAGCTTGAGTAAGAATTTTTTGCAGTTCATTTAGAAAGAGAATTTGTGGCTTAAAATCACTGCAAACCTAAATAAATAGGTTAGTTAAACTTAGGATACAAATGTGCTTAGTGTATCCTGGACACCATAGGAATTGAAGATTTTTAAAACATAACTTATGATTAAGAATATAGACATTTCCAAGTACTTGGGCTTCTTTAAGAATAATCTTTTTTAATGGAAGTTTAACTTTTACTTAAAACTTTGCATGGTTTTGTATAAAACAAGCGCTTATACTTTTTTTGTGTGTGAACTTCTAGTTCAAGAATTTGGGGGGGGATGGTAAGGCCATTCCTATTAGTGCGTTAACTGACTCTTTACCATGATTTGCTAGGATTTTATAGCACTAAAATAATGATTTAATACTAGTTTACTTTTGAACAACAAAGTATAAGAATAGGAAAACTACTCATTTTGGTTTGACCAAATAATTCTTGTAATCCGACTTGCATGTTTAAGTTAATACTAATTAATAAGGGATATAATACTTGTGGCAGATTTGTTTTAAAATACTCAAGCCATTTAAAATTGCTCCTCCTTCCAAATTTCTGCATGTGCATCAGGATTCTCAGTCCTGCAGCCTGCGCCTTCTACAAAGGCAACCTGTATGTTTTGACTTTAACAAATAAGATAGGAAAGCATTGGGTTCAGTTTCCACTTGACTTAACCACTGCCTGGTGAGCACTGTTAGGTGTGCTTTCCATGTATTAGTTAATTTAATCTTTATAACAGCTTGGTTACATTTCAGAATGTGATTGTCATGAGAGAAACACTTCTCAGGGAACAGAAATACATGTCAACTCTCCAGATTTTGAAACACATTTTTTTTTTTTTTTTGTCTGTAGTGTTTTCTCTCACTTATTTGTGCTTATTCTTAGAGTTCACTGTGACAATGCTATATTTGGTTAGAGTAATGCAATGAGTTCCAGTCAAGTTAATGTAGATTTTAAAAAAAGGTGTTAACCTGTTAACCTTTTTCATTTAATTAGTTTCATATATCAACTGCTTGCATACTTTATTGTAACATCTTACTCTGTATGTTGGATGTAAACTTCCTCTAGTTGCTACTTGAACTATAATTAATCATTATTTAAGTATATTTAATATATTTCAGTATTTATCACCAAATACGGGTTTTTTCACATTTCTAAATGGACATATTTTACTGCTGTTTAGAGTGGAAAGTCAAAAGATTTACTAGAGAACTCAGGGAAATGTTCAAATGAGATTTTTTTTTTCTCTATATTAAGTAAAATAGGCTCTTACTATAATCAGGTGACTGGGGGAGGAGGAGAAGGAAAGAAATATTTTTCTAGTAATGGAGTTAGCTGAGATTTTGTCTGAGGTGAATCTTTTAATGTTTTATCTTACTAACTATAAAACTCTTGAGGATAGGAGCTATGTATAATAATTTACCTACTATGCCATCTGTATATGGAGTACTCAGCAGATTTTTAACTTGAAGAATCATAAATAGTAGCTCTAGAAGAGCTATAAAGCATCTAATACTATATTTTTCTCTTTCTTCCTTTCCTTTCCCTTTCTTTCCTTTTTAATAGAGACTGGATTTCATACTATAGCCTAGACTGGCCTGGGATTTGTCAGGTATCTCCGACTGATCACAAACTCTTCTTGCTTTAGCCTCCTAAATACTGGAATTACAGGCATGCACCACCACACACAGCTCTTCTTCATGGTTGAGGAAATTGTGGCACAGAAAATTAAAGGGGTTTTATGTAGTATTACTGTGGATGGGGCAGAGTTGTGAGTGGAGACCCAAGTTTTTTGCTCTGTTTAGTGCCCCCCCTTCACCCCCAGAGGACTGGGCTTGAACTCAGGGCCTGGGCACTGTCCCTAACCCTCTGCTCAAGGCTGGCACTCTACCACTTGAGTCACAGTGCCACTTCCTGGCTTTTTCTCAGTAGTTTGTTGAAGATAGGAGTCTCATGGACTTTCCTGCCCGGGATGGCTTGGGTCATGACCCTCAGATCTCAGCCTCCTGAGTAGGCAGGATTACAGGCATGAGCCTCTCCCGCCTGACTCTTTTTAATGCACCTTTGGGATGGTCTCTGTTAGAGGATTCTAGACCTACTGGTTAACTTCTGCTTAATTGGGATAAAGGTTGTCAAGCTGGGCATCTCTCATATCGCTCTCTCTCTCTCTTCCTCCCTCTTTCCCCCCCTCCTCCTTCTGTCCCTTCCTTCTTCCAACCTGCAGTCTTCAATTTGCCCACCTTATAGGTGAATTCATATAGAGATGACATTTACATGAGAAGTGGGATAATTTAACATTTTATCGGTAGCTTGTTTAGAGGGTTAAGTGGTAGGCATCTTGTAAGCATTTTTACTAGTGTTTCAAATTAGACTGATACACCGGTTTTTTCTTTTTAGTAATGGACATGTGCTTGGAACGGCATTCTCATGCTCTAAATGGTAGGGAGAGGAATATGCCGTATGTTTTTGTTGGTATATTTTCAAGTTGATAAAGTTGGTTGTTAAGAATTGGCAATTTAGGGCATGGCACTGGTGGCTCATGCCTGTACCACTAGCTACTCTAGAGGCTGAGGTCTAAGGACTGATGTTGAAAGCTAAAGGTGGTAGAGCGCCAGCCTTGAGTGAAAGAGCTCAGGGACAGTG